CCCATAAAGGGAATATACATGTACCGTAAATTCTTTCTAATAAAACATGGTGTACGCCAGTCGTTAAAATCAAAAAATTGTTTTAAAATTAAATAAATATAATAAATACTTATTTGATTATAAAAAAATAAATTAATTAATTATAAATTATAAATAAATTTTTCGATTTTTCTTAAATCAGACTGCATATTAAAAAAACTATTTTAAAAAATATTTTCAAGATAATAAAATATTATATGTTGTCTACTAAATTCGTTTATGTATTTAACATTAATTGCAAATAATACAATAATATTAAAATATTAAAACTTTATACAGCTTAAAATTATTCTCATATTAAAAATATATTCTTTAAAAACTAAATATTGCAAAATTTTTTTAGTTAATCTGTCAATTGTACTAATGTCAAGAAATGTAATAACCGATTCGAAAAATTTCTTTGCTAGTTTGCTATTATAGTGATTATTGGGCGCATACATAACAATGTATAAATTATTTTATTATTTGCAAAGGATTAATAAATAAGTTTGTGGTTATAATTCCCAAATGTATTCGATCATTGATAATAAGGTCTGTCACATACTGTATGTATACATGTGAAAATTTTTACTCTTTTTTTTGAATAGGTCTAATACGAACAAGATCATTCATCATGTTTATTTCATTATTCATTCTTTAAAGTGCGCGGTTCATTAAAAAATATGCACCATAAATGCTAACAAGTTTGTTAATCGTCTAACATGTCAAACTACAAAGGAAACGTAGCGATTATTGCATACAAGACACCATAAATATATATGATATAGAAAGCAATGAATTCTTACCAAGTCATCAGTAGCTACTTCGTCGTCATTCATAGCAGAAATATTCGACTTATCTGCCGTATCATTCAGGAACTATGAATGTAATTACTTTAATCAATATTTCTAATTATTTGGATTAAGACCAAAATATTTTATAATTTTATATTACCGATTCTGCTTCTTGTGTTGTGGTGGTACTGTCTGGAGCTTCGTCCTCGCTAATTAAGGATATTTTTTCTCTGATCACCGACTCCCAAAAGTGAGTTTTAGGAGGTTGAGAGTTAAAACAAAGTGTTTTAAGTTCTTTGAGAAAGTCATTGAACCTTGAAGTCTCATTTTCCTAAACGTAAAAATGTGTTAAACAACAACCTCATTTAATGACTAGCATTTAGTAGAAACACGAGGATACCTGCGCACAAGCCTGACGCAATGCTTTCATGCATTCTATTGCTTTCTTATATAATCCTTCACCAAAAGAAGTCTTTACGTAATGCAAAATAACACCCGACATTTGTTCCACCGCTAAAAAATAATAAATTTTTTTTCAAAAAAAGTGATGATCCAAAAATATAACTAGACCTTACCACTTGTAACCAAATCCTCATCTCGATTCAAAATCATTGCTTTGAAATTCGAAACAGGATCAACGGTGCCAACCTCTCGAACAATTTCTTGCTGCGACAAGGTATCCGAGATGACGTCATTTTCCGTTCTGGCCCTTTTTCCGTTTTCTCGTGTATCTAACTCATCGTTATTCAAAATTTCATCCAAACTATGTATCTGAGGAGGCCGATTTGCATCGGCAAACCTTCTTTTACCGGTTTTCCCTTTTTCTTTGATAACTGCATTATATTGAACGAGAAATTAATTAGATGCATGATTCATGAGCGCTGACGTAATCAATGTGTTGGAATAACCTTTTTTTATTTTTAAAATTTCTCTTAATTCATCAATCAATTCCTTATTCTTCTCAATCAAGCAAGGAATTAATTTTGTTTGCGCAACCATTTCTGGGTCTGGTGAAGGAATAGACTCATCTGTATGAAGTGCTCGATGGCAAATCGCCCTCTTTGTTCGATGGATAATCGGATTGAAACATTCTTTTACCTTCAAATGTTCCTTTGGTTTACTACATTTTACGTCAATTAGATAAGCATTATGGAAATTGTATACTTAATAATCATTTCTCACCCTTCTTCATCCGTTAAGGAGTTCGTGAGATCCATTCCTTCAATGAATTTACCCATTTTATACTCTATTTGATCTGTTGGCAAATAGGGATGGTTTACAATTTGTTTACCACTTTTACTGATGACTCGATCTAGTGATGGAAATGTAAACCTTCGGTAATCTTCTCTAAATGCAATCTGTCAATTTTTTTGAGAATAAAAAGGAAAGGGTTGAATGTCAATCAACTGATTAATATATTAAGAAAAAAAAAAAAATTTTTTTTTTCTTACTCGGATAAAATGTAAGCATTCTTTCGGTGTTTTAATGTAAGGAATCAGTATCCCAAGTTTGGGTGTTTCATTATTCTTACGCACATAGCGAACTATTGCGTATGATTCCTTTTCATACAAAGCATGAATAAATGCTGATAGACGTTGGGCCATTATCGGATCTTCTTTAGGAGGCAAGATTGCTGATACATTTGACATAAAGTACGTGCGATTGAGCTATTTGAAAAAAGAAAAAAATAATAATTTGTGCGTGCACATAATCTTCTCTGATTATTATTTTAATAAGACCACTTACATCATCTGATTTTAAAAAACAAATAATCTGCATGGATTCCTTCGTAGGCAAATTAAATATTTCCTCATTCAATTCATCAACAGGCACATAAGTCTTTCCCAGAATATACGCCTTGTTCAATTCATCCATTTGCACTTCAACAGCCTCATTGTTGTTGGATATATAATGGGATTTGGAAACATTTACTTCAAATGTTTTCTTATCATTGCTAGTAGAAGTTTCAGCGATAGACGAATATTTTTTTGCTGTCAAGAGTTTTGCCTTTGTCGTTCGGTTATACATTTCAACATTAAACACCAGAGACGACTGAGGATTAGTTTCAAAATCGCCAAGAGACAAAGTTCCTTTATAGACAGGCGTTGGTCTCACTACTCTTATATAAGGTTTTGAGAGCTGTCGTAACGTTTCTTCCATTGAAAAGACAGTACCCTGCTGACAGTCATCAACAAGTTTGCGGAAAAACTTTTCGTTTCTTTTCTATTAAATTTATTTTATGGCTATATTTAGAACATTCAAGTCAGTCCGATGTCTGATTATTTTTTTGAAAAAATGTTTCACCTTCATATCAGACTTATTATTCTCAAAAAACCCTAACTCTTCATCATCAAAGTCTACTCCTCTATATAATAAAATTCCACAATTAATAACTTTTTCAAAAATGTAATAGAAGATAAATAAATACATACAATATGTTTAATTCGACATTTGACGAATTTGCTTGTTCAACTATTTTTTCGCGGTTTGATCGATCTATAGGTGACTCTCCGTCAGTCAAAAGATATATCTTTTTTGTGTACTTTAGGGTTCTACAATGCGTATTGATCATTTCCACCGCGAGACTAATTGCATCTAGGGCTAAATTTGTCGTGAAGTTAGTAGTCTCTAAATAAGCATTACTTTATCAATTTCTCGATTATCTCACCGTCGGATTCTTGGTTTCCATGAGGAAGTTCTTCGTTTACAGTCCGTAGAATGGGTAGTTTAGGTTGTTCAATAGGATAGAGTACGGATATATTTTCGTAACCACCAGATTCATCGTTCATATAATTATTTGTCTCTATATTGTAGAAATGAGTTCTAATTAAAAGACACGTAAAGGAAAAAAAACAAGAAAAATATATGGAATTACCGTCAGTTCCATAAACAATCAAACTTGTCAAGTCTGTCTTTAATCCCCCTATCACCTGAGTAGCATCAATTAAATAAATCAGATTTCGCGGTGATTATATTTTCACTCCACCACAAAACGGCAGACGCGAGTTGATGTCAAACTGTGAATTCGCTGCATTATTCTCCACGAACGAAGAAAAAATGTTTACTTTTGCCTCGAGCATTGTCAACACGGCTTTTTTAGTTAAATCCAATCCCTTTCCACCCTGTTTTCGTTCTTTTTTCCACATAGTAGGCCCCACGTCAATAATATAAACCGTGCATTTTTTGTCTGCCATTTTTTAACTAAGATTTCGCCGCAGAAACCTATTGAATGTCAACTTTAATTCTGTTTATAATTCGGAAAATTAGTTAAGTACGTCATTGTTATTCCATAACAGATAAACTAACGCGTATTTTTAACATGTCACTGTTTTTTTTTCATTAATTTTTTTATCTATTACTGCTTGACCCAAAATTATAGCTTATATACCTTTATTAAAAAAGTTTTATTAATTTAGGATTTCTTATGATTTCTTGGATGCAAATTAAAACAATATTATATATGTTAAATATAGCTAAGTAGTAGTTACTGTATGCCTACTTATTTAGAAAAGTTAATTAGATATAAAAAAAATGAAAAGTAAAAAAGAAAATATAACTATAACACAGCTACTAAAACTAAAACTGAATTAATTAAACTATAAAATTAATATAAATAAAAGTAATATTTTTAGATATTCATTTCTCTTGTTTTTTGTTATATGTTGATATAACTTTTGCTAATACAGATAGTAAACTATAATTAATTAATATTATTTATTGTTGTAATAGTTGTTATTGTTATTATTATTATTATTGTTATACTAAAAATCAGTTTAAACAGAAAAAAATTCTTTTTCACTTCTCTTTCTACCCTTGAAAATTTTCTTTTTAGAAAATTTTTAAGTTGTTTATTTTTTTTTTGCTTTTTTTTTCTTTTTCCTTTATTTTCTTTCTTTCATATCTTTTTATTCCTCTTTTCTTATTTTTTTTTTCTTTTTTTTATTATTTATTTTTTTATTTTTTTCCTTATCAAAACTAGGTTTTTTTTCTTTTTAAAGATTTTTCTTCTTAGATCTCTCTCTTTTTTTACAAATATCACTTTATAATATCAATCTTCTAACCAATTAACTCCTTTTTTTTAAGGATTGTATTAAGAATCAATAACTTTTTTCAAGATATAAACTTCAAGATTTTTTTATTTCCATGATTCTATAAAAAAAAAACAATAGATTTATCTCTTTTAAAAGATTGACATGGTTATAATTACTAAATTTGATGTTGTTTACTTGCTAATAGTGAAACTAAATATATCTAAAAAACTAGTATATAACTATTATTATCCAAAGTCTTCAAAGAATTGTATTTCATAATATTTAAAATAATATAACAATCAATGCCAATGCAACTAGTTTGATTGTAAATGTTATGCTAGTAATTGAATAATATAATAAAATAATATATAAAGATTGGAAATTTTAATTATCTTTATAATACAAGCTAATAACAATAATAAAAGTTTCTTGGTTATTTCTTTAATAATATAGATTTCAGTATATAAGGTTAGGTAATAACACCTATAAGAAATTTCAACTCTATTATGTTTAACAATTTTTTTTAACAATTATTACTATATATCCAAATATTTTTTTTCCATCTTTTTCTATTTTATAGTTGTACTAAAT